ACACACCTGTGTGTGTGACAACTAATGGGACTTTAACTTTAACTTAACTCCCTCTAGGTCTCCTCCTTGTTGGACATGTCTGGAAAACCTCACCAGGGAGGCGTCCAGGAGGCATCCTGTGCAGCAGATCTACTCCGAGCCCCTCCCGAATGACCGAGCTTCTAACCCTATCTCTAAGGGAGATCCCAGCCACCCTGCAGTTAAAGCTCATTTTGTGATCTTGTTCTTTCAGTCACTACCCAAATCTCGTGACCATAGGTGAGGGTTGGAACGTAGATCAACCGGTAAATTGAGAGCGTCGCCTACTGCCTCAGCTCTCTTTTGACCACAACAGACCGATACAACACCCGCATCACTGCAGACGCAGCACCAATCCGCCTGTCGATCTCTTATTCCAACTTTCCCTCACTCGTGAACAAGACCCCGAGATGCTAAAACTCCTCCACTTGAGGCAGGACCTCATCCCTGACCTGGAGAAGGCATTCTACCCTTTTATGATTCATGATGATGAGATGATGATAATAATAATAATAATAATTATTATTATTATTATTGATGCCTCAGGAAATTTTTTCTGAGAAACTCTGTTTGCAGCAATAGCAGTATCGACACATCTAGCAATGTTTAAAAGGTAAAGAAAAGGACAGGAAATAAGGCAGTAAGTGAAGTACATCTTTAGGTAATGATAGTAGTATTGCATATCATACTCATCTATTTATTGCATTGCATAAAGTATTGCTCATTATGTTCCACCGCTTTAGGAATTCTCTGTCCTGTTGCAGTCAAACCTGGAACTTCTTCATTTGTACGATTATGCTGCAGTTCTGTGGATTGTCCGAGGATGAGCCGGATCCGGGCAGAGCCAGGGTGGACTTTCTGGATGGATCTCTGGGGAGCAACGCTGGTAGACGTGTGAATAAGTGAGATGTTACAGACTGATGAAATTCCCAGAGAGACTAGAGAGGATAAAGTGATGCAGAAAACAGATGGAGAGGGGTGCCTTCATATCTGCTTTTCTCTTGCATTTTGCAAGCGCACACACCCACACACACACACACACACACGTACACACACACACACACACACACAGACATTTTGCACGCACCTGTTTCAGCAGAGAGATTCACGACCCTCTGCGGGGAAATTTTATGTGATTTTTCTCACTCTGGTATACGTTTCCTCACAGTTTCATTTGTCTTCTAAAAACATATAAATGCAGCAAATGAGTAGCTACATAAAGGAAATGCACACAAAAAAAGTTGCAGCAGCAACTATAATGACAACAAACTGTAATTTTACATCTGCTTTAAGGAAAGTTTCCAGATCTGAGATTTTGTCTTTATTGACCAAAATGTAAATTCCCAAATTATCCAGCTTTTTATCTGGAAGTGGCTTTTAATGGCGCTGGGAACTGAGCACTGCTCGGGCCCCTGCTGACAGAGTCAACACGACAAAGCTTTGCTTTGCAGGTCATAAACACTCTGGTAACGCTGCTCAGAGGCTGATTATCCTCACGCCGAGGGACAACAAGGCCGAGTGTCCCAACTTCAAACAATCCCAGCCTGCAGCTCACAAATCCCTTGTTAGCAGGACTCCTGTCATCCCCGCTCTGTTCTGACCTCAGTCAGGATGTCATGTGCAGACCGTCGGTGTTTTGTTGTATGGCACATCAACAGGTGATCTCCAGGCTGAACGTGCTGTTTGATCAGGACTGATAAGGCTGAGGAAACGAGGCCCGTATCAGTAAGATGTGGGTCAGAGGTCAGTGCTGCTTTGTGATCCAAGCATTTCAGCGGATCTGCGGATAAGTGAGCATGGACCCGGGGGTCCAGAGACAGTCAGCCCCTCAGTGGATGAGAAGTGTCTGTGCTGTCAGCTCTGGTTCCCAGCGTGGCCTCTCTCCTTGGAGCTGCCCCTCCCGCCCTGACCATGGCTCTTTGTGTGCTCACCGTGCTCCCTGTGGTCTCGCCGCTCTCTGGCCTTTCACATGCGACTGTGTCCAATCACCCGACGCTCCCCTCCTTCTCCACCGGGTCCTGAGCTTCTGTCTCCATCTCCAACCCGCTCCCGAGCCTCATGGGAGCAAATATTAGAGAGCTGAATACCCGGCTGAAAGAAAATGAATCACTTGTATTAAAGAGAAAGAAGAGATGGATTAAACCTTGCCGTTCCCACCCCTGTAACACTTTTGCTAGTTTTGCACATGTAACCTTCATAAGATGTGAGATGCTTTAGGTAAACTTGGGAATTAAAGTCCCAGTGTTCCGTGATGAAAGCTACATGTTGTACCAAACTGTAGCAGAATCTGTAAACCCCACAGTTTTACCTGTTTGTGTGCTCGCTAGCAGCCATGCAGCATTAGGTTTACTCTGCTGCAAAGACAAATCCAACTGAAACTTACTAAAACTTATCGATAAATGTGCAACTAAAGTTGCCGTTCTGCACCTGGATGGGTTTGCTCTGACTGCACCACCAGTCCGTTCATCCATTTTCTGGAATCACAGCTGGAGCGGCTGCAGAAGGAGCTCAGACAGCTTCAAAGCTGATTATGTTGTTTACTGAAACTCAGAGATGATCACACTTGCAGCTCTCAGTCCGGTGTCGGTACAAGATCTGCTCGGGTGCAAGATCGGCTCAGGGTCCGTCGACTGCCGATGACGTCAAAGTAGTTGATTGGCTGAACATGAACCTTACGGAATTACGTAATCACGTTACGTTGTTATCACGTTACGTTGGTCCAGGCAAATCTTTGTGTTGGAAAGATGGACAACTTTTACAAAGAAATCCATCATTACCTCTTTGAAAATACACTTTTAGCATAGAGCTGCATGTATATTAGGGCGGAACGATTAACTGCATGTGCAATTAAATTGCGATGTGACAAAAGGAGATTTTCTAATCGCAAAGGCTGCAATTTGGCAGCGAGTGGTTAGCGCAATGCTAATATACGTGGAAAACCCCCGTAGAAATGCTAATGCTAATATTACATTACATTACAAATTATGAATTAGAAACGTGCCAAATGATTACATTTGGAGTCTAATAGAAAGTAAAACTACCATCAATCAAATAAGTACAGACAGGTATTTTAGTAAAGCCAGAAAACTTTTAACTCCAGAGTTTTGGCTAGCAGCTATGAGCGTAACTGAACTACGCATGGACAAGACGTCAAAAACTCTAAACACAAAATACTTCAATAAACGGGACACACTTCTTTCCTGCAAATACAATGTCACAGGTGTTGCTAATACCTATGATCCTTCAAGGGATGTGCTCAAAGAGGAGTTCAACATTATGAATACAATATAGTGTTTTATTTTACAAATACCATTATAAACACAAACTTACGTCTTAGGAAACATTATTTTAATAACGAAACTGCTAAATTCTTTCCAACAGTATAGATGTGTAGTGTATTTTGTCCGAGTGGGTTTGCCGTACTTTGACGTCATCGGCAGTCGAAGGACCCCGAGCCGATCTTGTACCGACCACGGGAAAGGCTGTTGTTGGTTTGCGTTTAGCAGAAAACATCTCGACTGTAAGCTAACTGCTGGAATTAGCAACATCGCCACACAGCAGAACTCCTCCAGGCTTGTGTATCCATGTTGCAAGTCAGTGGTAGAGTTGCGTTGCTATTATCCAGTCTGAGGCGAGACGTCCAAATATCAGGAGATAAGACTCCAAAACCTGCCGTCTGAAGCTCAGCTGTGATGTGGCTCACTTCTAGTTCCTGGTAATGGTGCACTGGTGCCCCCTCCCCATGACTTAAAAGGCGTTAATTTATATTAGACCACTGAAAAAGTGTTGATTAAACAAGTGTTTCCAACTTTTATAAATCAGTTCAGATTCCAGCAAAAGTCTGAAATATTTTAGTTGGAATTTTTATAAAATTAATCACTTCACAACACAAAATAAAAAAAAAACAGCCTGAAACATCTCGATTATGTGACGATTCTGAAATGTTGTTTTGCCATTTTGGTGTTTTTCGACATTGATGAATTGCTTCTACAACTTGAGAGGAGCCAAAACTATAAACTAGGGCTGGGCAATAAATCGAAAATTCATCGTTATCGAAATTTCTGACACTTATCGGAATAATTTTTCCCATGTCAATAAATCTGATAATAAAAAAGGAAAAAGATGTGTGTAGGTTAGCAACATTTATGTCGCTTTAAGAAGCTGTACCACCTTGAGTCACGTAATACAGCCCAATCTAGTGGACGACTTTTGTTTCTGCGCATACCTGTAGTTATCGTCCATTTATCGTTATTGCGGTGAAATCCTCAATATATCGTGATATTGATATTAGGCCATATCGCCCAGCCCTACTATATACTGAACAAAAGAAAACCAGAATATCACTGGGTCGGGACTGCTGGTGACCAGTTTCTTCTGGTTCTTCAAAATTTTGAAGAAGGAAAACTAGCATGATAAACAGTAAAAAAAAAAAAAAAAAAAAAAAAAACTCAAATTATTGGATTTCAATAATCTAATTAATTATATATGAATAAAATTATAATTTATTTATTAGTTATAATTAGCACAGATAATGTTTACATTTTTATGTATAGCAGATATATGATGTTATTTACCTAAAATGATATTGTTTTTCTTCTTTAAGAGAAGGGGACCCCACATCGGTTTATATAGGAAGTTGGTAAAAAATAAAATAAAAAGCCTAAATCAAACGTCCCTAAGAATAAGTCTAAAACATAAAAAACAATAAAAACTTTTTCCCCTACATAACTAAATCTAATATCTCTCTCTCTCTCTCTCTCTCTCTCTCTCTCTCTCTCTCTCCATCCATCCAACTTTTTGCACATTAAAATGAAATTAAACATTTGTAAAACCGTAGTTTCTAACCTGAAAGTAGCAGTGAAGTTGTATAAATCTGTCTTTTTGTGATTAATGGGAACCTGCTCAGGTGAGTCTTTAACGGAGTGTGCACGTGGGCAGAGGGGGGAAGGAGGAAGTTATTTTCTCGTTAGATTGTAAAACTTGTCAAAGCACGGTCCTCCCTGCCACCCGTCCTCCCCCCTGCCTCCTCCCTCCTGGACATTCCTGCCTCGTCGCTGCCATGATTTGCTGAGCAACTCGACACTCCGCTGCTCCAGAGATGCGTGTGTGGAGGAGACGGTCCCGGTGCGAGCTGGAGGAGTAACGGAACCGACACAACCGGACCTGAACGGGATCCCTCTAATCCGCCTCCGCGTCCACATCTCTCAGGGGTGGGACGTTGGCGCACCTTGCCCCCCGAAGCCTGCGCTGTTTTGCGGGTTAACCAAGTCCTCCTCTCCGCCTGCTTCTCCTCCACCTCCGACACGCTTCACGTTCCTCCCGTCGCTGCGCACTTCCGAGCCCGGTTCTAATGGAGGGCCCGGAGCGGACTTCGGATCAGAATAATGCGCTCTGCTGCTGATTCGCCCGACGCACCGCAGCTTTTGAGCTCCTGGGAGACGAAAGGTAAGAATCAGGCGCAGCGGAGGTGGAACTCACGGGAGTCCCGCACCGGGACCGGAGCTTTCTGAGGGGTTCGGGTGGTCCAGCTGGGCTCGTGTGGGAATAACAAAGCAAAGGTGTAGCTAAAAGACGCACAGCTTGCGCTGTTTGTTTGGTGAAAGGGAGGGCTGCTCTTTATACCGAATCCACGAGTTCATGGTTCAGTTTGTGAACTTTATCTTCGCAGCTTGTGCCACTCGGAGTTTTCCCAGTAAGGAAGGGGTTGCTTTATGATTTCCGCTGTTTAATCCTCAGGTCCATTCGGATTTTGAATCATAAATGCCCCAGAAACTTGACACATAAAACGCAAACAATGGAGTTCTAATGTTCTGCTAGATTTGAGGTTCTGATTCAGCTCAGCTCTGGTTGCCTCCGAAGGAAATACAACACAACACGAGTAAATATTAGTTTGGTAAACGAGCTGACTCATGGGAAACAGCAAAAACAATCTCAGCCAGAAACATCACGAATAAAACTGTTTTTTGCTTATTTTCACCCACAGACACAGTCTTCAGAAAGTGAATCAGTGAGATTTGTGCAGAAATAACTCCTACCTGATATTAGATGTTTTTGCATTCAAATTTTCACTTCTAAACCTAAGAAATGTGTGTTTTTGTTTAAATTAACGCGTCGGTGTCGAGGATTCTGCATGTAAACATGAATATAGTGTTTATTTTGCCCGTTTTGTTTCTTAACTTGTGCAGATGTAGCATTCTTTTATTTTGAAAATCTTCCTGGAATTTTTTTTACCTCTTAGAGGCACAAACTTGCCTTTTCTCAAGCATATAAGAAATGAAAATATACAAAAAGGTTTGATGCTTCATGAAATAGGAACTTAAATGCAAAAAGCAAATGTTACCTTAAAATTAAGTTTTATGAGCAAAAGCTGCCTTATTTCAAACCCAACTGAGCAACTTTTAAAGTTTTTATTTTTTAGTAGAAATGACTATTTTGCACAAACCTCTGCTCATGTGGCGCTTAGGTCCCGTTGTTTTCAAATGTAGTTTTTCTTTTTTTAAGACAAATTAATAAACCATTAGTGTCCCAGCTCTTATCAGCCCTGCCCTCACAAAGCACAACCGCGCCATTAAGAGATTTTGAATAATGTTTGAGCTATTAGGGCGCTCGTTAATGATAAACACATGTTGCTGCAGGAAAACTATGTTAAGTGGGCAATTTGAATGTAAGCATGTGTAATGATACCAGCCTCTGCTCTCATAATGGCTCTCTTGATTTTTCTGATGCTGAATTATATTCACGCATCGGCACTGGGAAATGCCTGTAGAACACTTAGTGCTGAGGGAAGGTTTCATTAAAGGAAAAACCAGGAAGTGAGGTCATTCGGGAGCTCAGATCTTGTAGCTTTGGATTGAAAACAAGGCCAGGTGCCAAAGACAAACTCAAAAGTCGTATCATGTTTTAAGCACGGCGGGAAATGTTAAACCTAATCCTAAATCAAATGAACAAAAAGTTTTCAAATCCTGAGGAGATATATGAATAATTTGCTTTTGTATGTTGATAATTGCCTTTAAAGGGTAATATTTAATAAATATATAGTTGTGGTAGACCAATACTTTGTTTACATTGGCCAATATTTGTCCTTAGTAAAGTCGATTTAAAGTCAGGCACATCCTTGGGCAGCTCGGTGCTGTTGCAGAATTGAGTTAAAACACATTTTTACATGCACTAATAACATCTGTATAAAAACACTGTAATCAACTTTATTTAGGTGTCTGACTTTAACACTGAGCAGTGAACAAAGGTAAGATGTCGCAGTTGGTTCAATTCAGAGTTAAAAATCGATGCAGATTCAGAAATGTTGTGCATCAAACGATGTTATCGGTGACATTTTAGCATGAAATAAGGTGGAAAATGTCTAGAAATCGACCCATAAAAATCAGAAGTACCTATCGGCCATCAGCTGACCACGTCTCCAACATATCGGCATTGATATCGGCAATATAAAAACCAAAATTGGTCGACCTCTGATATATAGTGATTTATTTCCATAATCTCTGATATATTTCAACTCATGAGTATTAAAACAGAATTTAGAGGTTCGTGTTTTGGTTTGACCCGCTGAGCAGCCATTCCTGAACTAAAACCTGGCTTGTTTTGAACTCTTGACACCCTCATTGCTCGGGGATTGAGTCATGCTGCAGTATTTTCTAACGCTGGCCTTTTCCTCTTGCAAGCTTCAGATCCTATTTGTCAAGGACGGGCTTGGACCCCGGAGCCCTTTAGATGGACAGAGGAGAGCTTTGGGCAGAGTGCCAGAAAGCCTCCATGTTCGGGTGGGTGGGTGGCGCTGATTGACAACACCCAGCAGCCCTGAGCAGGGGTCGCGGGGAAAAGACCTTCCTGAGGTTGGAGGGAGAGTTGGTAGAAGATTTTACTTTCCACCTACGGTTTCCATCAGTGAAGCAGCTCAAACTGAGTTTCTAACCCAGAGAAGCTGCGAGGGTGAAAGCAGTAGCTGAAAGCGCCTCTTTGTTTACGAGACTCTGTCATTGGCAGCACTTCTTATCAGCTCTGAGCTGGACGCCTCGTTATTTTAACTTCACGACGCATTTCTCTCAGCGGCACTGCCCCCTCCGACCTCTGACAGGTGATCCAAACACCTCGGCTCTGACTCGAGGTTTCCTACAAGTGTCTTTGGGTCCGGCTCTTCCTGAAACATCAGAGGAACCGCTTCGTACACTTTCAGCGGATGGTCGGATTGAGTTTCTGAATGTTCAGAATTCATACAGGAGGTGAAACTGGATAATGACTTTCAAGAGATTGAAAAACGAAATGACATGAGAAACATCGGGGCTTAACTGTTAAGACAAACAAACAGTTTTTAGAGCAGCAGAAACAGATGTTCGAGGCAGCCGCTGAGTGACGGTGGAAGACGAGGTCTGCTTCTTCTCTGAAGATGGTTTGCTTTCTGTTAGTGTAATGGAAAAATGGGCCCCCGCCGAATGTATATGAGTCTGTGTTCCTAATATGATAAGGGAATGTAAACGGGTACCACACACAGGGCCATGCTGGGGAAGAAGACACAGTCCAGGCAGCCTCGGATAATAAAAATGCATCAACAGCAGATGGTCAAGAACGGTTTACGACACAGTAGAAGAAGTTTATGTAGGTCAGATCTTATACTGGGCTAGAACACTGCAAGGAACTGGTCCAAAACCAGTTAAAACTCTCTTTTTGTGTCTTTTTATGCCAGTTAGGGCTGGAGTTGTGTTGGAATAGTGGGACAAAATGGAAATTTCACGAGGTCATGCATTGAAATTTAGTCACAAAGGGACTACAATAAAGAACAATTTCACTAAGAAAGCATTTTTTCCTTTTTATTTTTGAAAATCATCAGTAACTCTGATTTTAACAGGCAGGCTGAACGTAAGCATCGTCTTCTAGCCCTGAGTCCTGAATTAGCTTTTGATAGAAGTTAGACGGAAAAACGTTCGGTTTAGAAAGGTTTGAGAGATCTACGCCACACCGTCACAACATTCACACATTCACCCATCTTGGCTTGCAATGGGGAAGGTTGTTGTTCATTTAACGTCCAGAAAACAGCAGTGAACATCTCGACTAGTAGACGCTAACCGTCAGCATTAGCAACTCCTCATCACGGCAGAACTCCTCCAGGCTTGTGTCATTTGCGTAGAGAAAACATCAGCATTGCGAAGCAGAGTCAGTGGTAGTGTTGAGTTGCTGTTAGCCAGTTCGAGGCAAAATGTCCAAATATCGGGAATTAAGACTCTAAATCCTGTCGTGTTCTGCCAATTTCGCCTTATGCTGACTTCTACATGCTCAAACAGGTGCTCCAGAGCTTTTTTCCCCCAGGTAAAGATTTAGAAGGCATTCATTCCTACTGTAGACCACTGCACATGTAATAAAATATGAGTAAAGTCGACGTATACGTTTTAACTTATACATGTTTTAGTGATCGAACCCCATTTGCATTTCTCCTACTCACTGAGCAACCAAACTAAGGAGAGTTTAAAATAGGTATGTGATAAGAGCACAATGTATCTGAATCAACATCAGTAACTGCCAATGTTAGTCATATTTCGACATCGCTTTCGGTCCGATATGTGAAAGTGTTAACAAGATGGAAATGAACATTGGTCATTTGTGACATTTGTGAAAATGTCGGATATCGATATTGGATCAAATTTTCATATTGGAGCATTCATAGTTTGTGTATCAGTTCTTGAACTATTATCGGTCTTGCAAGAGTTTTTGAATGTGTTAAAAATCCAGCAACATGGAGCAAGGCTCCTGTATTTCATGCAAGGACCATCACAAACATTTCACGTAATCTTGGACACTCCTTCTCAGGTGTTGTATGTAATCTGTCACCAACAGTAGAAAGCCAGACTTTACGTTTCCATCAGAACCCAAATCACTCCATCGTTCTTCACCACAATCTACTCCTGCCAAAAAGTGACCAAAACACTGATGGGGCTCATTGTTCTGCAGCCTTGTCTTGTGTCGTTCGCCTAATCTCTCAACCTCAGGGAGGAGGAACTCAGGCGGTGAACTTCTGAACCAAACCCATGCTGACAGCCCTCAAATTATGTGCGGGGCTTTTTATTTTTTTTTACTTTGCATTCTCTGCCTCTTCCTGTTTGCAGGATTCATTTCTTTTTCCCTTTCCTGTAAATGACCCTTCTAAATGAGCCCGCTTCAGTCCGGCACCTTGGAGCGGGCCTCGAGATTCTTCTCGAAGCCGCGAGCGACCGCATCTTTCTATTTCAAACACGGAGCGGGAGTCACATCTTGACGTGGGTTTTTCTGCGGACCAGAATGTGTGCACTGTTAAAAGAGCCGGCCCAGGGATCAGGAGGACTATATTAAGGCAGAACTAGCGGCTGGCACTCCCCTTCAGCTGACAAACAGGCTTCTTGTTTGAAGGGCTGTTTTTCTCCCAGATCAGAGTGCAAGGCTGTGTGGGTACGGCTGCTATTGCT